GGAGGAGGAGGAGGAGGAGGTGGGGAAGGCGGAGGAGGAGGAGGGGGGGAGGGGGAGGAGTCCTCTCGGGGGCCCGTGAGCATGGCACTCCAGGGGACCTCTCGGAGGGCCTTTTTGGGGTCAGCGGACTGACTTGGGGGGCATCCTGGGGGGCCTCCTGGAAGCCTCCTGGGGGCGAGTCGGGAGTCGCGCTCTGCTCGATTCGGAGCGGGCTGCGCTGGAGTTGATCGGCGGCGAGCGAGGGGGGGAATGAGAAGGCCTTCTCAGAAGGCGGCGGGACTTCTCCGAAACCATCGCGTTATGTTGTCTCCATCGTACTTCAGGACCGCATCCCAAACATATTTTCGGGCACCCAGAAAAGTATCGAAACAGTGTCGAACGAGCATCGCCTCCCAAGGCCCGACACGTGAAAACCTTCCAGTTTCGGTACTCTCCTGTTGCTCGAATCTCTGTCTGGTGCTCAAGGCCGCAGTAGGCTGGATCATCATGACACCCGCGCGCCTTCTGAGAGGTTGTCGGCGCCTTCGGGGCAAGCTTTAGGTCGGGCGTGTCCTCCTACAGCAGGAATTTGGACGAAACATAAATCACAGTCGAAACGTATTCGGAACTAGCCAGAAAAAGTCCCCAAATCGTACCCCGACTACTTCCCAACCATCCTGTGGTGTTGGGTCCTCGTTTTGAAGAGACGGTCACCGCGTTCCTCCTCCTCTGTCCTCCCTCCCCCTCCTCCCTCCTCCCTGCGTTTGGCCCAATCAGTACAGCGTTCCGTGGCCCCATAGGGAGCTCCACCGAAGGCCCCAGTGACACCGCCCGCATGCGTCCCCCACACCAAATTTAGCACACCCCTCACACGCTTCGTGGCCCCACAAGGAGCTCCACCGAAGGCCCCAGTGCCACCGCTCGCATGCGTCCCCCACACCCATGTCGGCACACCCCCCTCACACGATTCGTGGCCCCAAAGGGAGCTCCACCGAAGGCTCCAGTGCCACCGCCCGCATGCGTCCCCCACACCCATGTCGGTACACGTTTCGTTGCCCCATAGGGAGCTCCACCGAAGACCCCAGTGCCCCCCTCCCGCATGCGTCCACCACACCCATTTCGGCACACCCCTCACACGTTCCGTGGCCCCATAGGGAGCTCCACCGAATGCCCCAGTGCCACCGCCCGCATGCGCCCCCCCCCCCCCCCACACACACCCATTTCGGCACACCCCTCAAACGTTTCGAGGCCCCATAGGGAGCTCCATCGAAGGCCCCAGTGACACCGCCCGCATGCGTCCTCCAAACCCATTTCGGCGCACCCCTCACACGTTTCGAGGTCCCAGTCGGGAGCTCCACCGAAGGTCCAAGCGCCAACGCCAGCATGCGTCCCGCACACTCATTTCGGCACACCCCTCGCACGTTTCGCGGCCCCATAGGGAGCTCCACCGAAGGCCCCAGTGCCACCGCTCGCATGCGTCCCCCACACCCATGTCGGCACACCCCTCACATGATTCGTGGCCCCAAAGGGAGCTCCACCGACGGTTCTAGTGCCACATCCCGCATGCGTCCCCCACACCCATGTCGGTACACCCCTCACACGTTTCGTGGCCCCATAGGGAGCTCCGCCGAAGGCCCCAGTGTCCCCCTCCCGCATGTGTCCCCCACGCCCATTTCGGCACACCCCTCACACGTATTGTGGCCCCACAGTGAGCTCCATCGAAGGCCCCGGTGCCACGGCCCGCATGCGTCACAAACGCACATTTCTACACACCCCTCACGCGCTTCGTGGCCCCATAGGGAGCTCCACCGAAGGCTCCAGTGGCTGCGTTCGCATGCGCCCACCGCACCCAATTCGGCACACCCATCGCACGTTTCGCGGCCCCATAGGGAGCTCCACCGACGGCCCCAGTGGCTGCGTTCGCATGCGCCCACCGCGCCTATTTCGACACACCTGTCACACGTTTCGCGGCCCCATAGGACCGGACAAATTTTGGCTCACCCCTGACGGGTTTCGTGACCATAGAAGGACAACGACGGTGCTCACCACTGCATATGGTTGGGTCCTTCGCCAGGCGATTTTTTTCGACTATTCTTGAAGATTCCTCCTGTAACCGGATCTGCCGTCACCCGAAAAAATACGAGCTGCGGCAGACCTGGTTTAGTGCTTCTGGCCAATTTCGGGGCTCCGAGGCCCTCACCGGGATGCCCTCACCGGGATGCCCTCACCTGGGGTCCTGGCTATACTTGGCGGAGAGTAGAAGGGGGTAGGGGGAGGGGGAAGGCTTCTTAGAAGGAGGCTGCTTCTTAGAAGGCGCCGGCCTTACATCTACAGATTAGGCCCGCACCTTCTAAGAAGCAGGGGGGCTTCTAAGAAGCCTTCCCCCCTCCCCCCACCCCCCTCCGCGCGCCGCCAATATACCCGAGACGCGCCCGACGGAAGGGCAGGCTCAGAACTCGGCTGCACGTAAGAGTGACCCTGGGCAAGAGTGACCTTTGGTGCGCGGCTTTTTGGGGGGCGCTATGAGGCCAAACACAAGCGCGCAAGACGCCACTGTCGCAACGAGCCTGGCGATCGGGGGACCCCAACGAGCGCGCACCAAAGGTCACTCCGGCGAAGGGTCACTCTTACGTGTAGTCGAAGAACACCTCCCAGCGAAGGCCGGGGAGGAGGAGGAGGAGGAGGAGGAGGAGGAGGAGGAGGAGGAGGAGGAGGAGGAGGAGGAGGAGGAGGAGGGGGGGGCGCGCCGCCGGTCCTCATCTCGGGAGGCGTGGGCTCGGGCTTGTCCCAGTACCCCATCTGCGCCAGCATCGCCCGGTGCGCCGACGTGTCGACCTGGGGCCGCCGCCGTCGTCGCCGCCGCCCTCGCCCTGGCCGTCGTCGTCGTCGCCGCCGCCGTCGTCGTCGTCGTCGTCGTCGTCGTCGCCGCCCTCGTCCTGGCCGTCGTCGTCGTCCTCGCAGGCATCGTTGTCGTCGTCGCTGGTGTCGTCGTCGTCGTCGCCGTCGTCGCCGTCGTCGTCGTCGTCGTCGGCGTCGTCGGCGTCGGCGTCGTCGGCGTCGTCGGGTCGTCGGCATCGTCGTCCTGCTCCTCGTCATCCTCCTGCGCGCGCATCAAAGG